TATGAATATTAGTTTATTCTCTTATAAAGTAGAAGAAAATTGAGAAATTAAAAAAAAAAAAAAAAATACTGTTATACTGTTAGTAATTTACAACAATGGAGAAAACTGATATAGAATATTTAAATATACCAGAAAATATTAAAAAAAAGTTATATGCTAAGAATATAAGCACAAGTATTTTTTTTTTATAAAAAAGTTTAAAAAAATTAGAAATATTATTGGATATATTAAAAATATATTAACTTGAATATAATGTATATTCCTTATATTTATTTTTTTAATTCCTATAATATCCAATTAGATATACATATATATATTCTTTTTTTTTCTTTTTGTTTTGTTAGTTGAAAAGTTAAGTACAAATTATTTAGAAAATAATTCTGTAAAAGTTGGTTTTTTAATTATTTGTTTTTTTGTTATTTCCTTTTTATAATGTATATTTTTCTATAATTTATTTTTGATTATAGGAGATTAATTTAATACAAGAAGAAATATTTAAATGTCACTTAAATGAATTAGGTATAAAAGATGAAAATGAAAGGGAGGAAAATGCAATCATTAATCCACTAATATTTTCTAATAATCTTTATTCATATAGTGATAAAGAAAATTATTATATCAATAGCAGCTCTGATTTTTCAAGTTATAATTCTTCTTCACATTTATCCTCTTTTGAATCAACCAATGATTATGATTTGATAAATAATAGAAAAAATAATATAACGAAAATCATTTCTTGTAATAACAATGATGCAATATTTAAGAATAAGAAAAGTACTAACCAAAATGATAATATATACAAAGAGAAATTAGGACAAAAATTTTTATTATATTCAAACTTTATGAAAAAAAATTTAAAAAATCATAAAATATATAAAACAGAAAATGCTTCATTAAATAACTTATTATGTGGGGGTATAGAAAGTTCTAAAATATATTTATTTTATGGAGATAAAATAAATATAAATAAAATTGTTTTAGTGAATTTATTGTATGATATCATTATAAATAGTAATAAAAATTCGAGTATTGTATACATTTATTTCAGTTATATTAATGATATAACAATTATTCATAATATTATAATGGCAAAAATAAAACAACAAAAGAAAGATTTCTTATTAAGTGATATTCTTCGTAACTTTTATATTTTTAGAGTTCAAAATATTAATGAGCTTATTTCTTTTTTATTACTTATAAAGAATACTATTTTAAAAAATAAAAATTCTAAAAATGGCCTTAAAAATGAATTTAATAATTTAATATCAATAGGAATATTCAATTTTACAGATTTAATAAAAAATTTAAACATTATTAATTCTTGTTCTTACTTTTATTTAGTTAGAGAATTAAAAACCCTTTCAATTATTTTAAATATATCTATATTAATTTTTGACAATGCGAAAAATGAAACATTAGATATTACTAATAATAAAATAAATTATAAAGAACAAAAGATAGAAGAGCATAAAAAAATACAAAAAGTTTTCAAAGAATATGATAAAAATACAAAAAAAAAAAAAACATATACAACCTTTAGTAATAGAAATGAATATAGTAATGTTAACGAGGAACACTCCTTTAGTTATAATGAAGATGAAGAAAATTATTTAAGTAAAAAAAAAAATAAAATAAAGAATAATAAATATGAAAATAAAAATTATATTAACATAGAAAATAGTACAAGTAGCGAAGTCTTAAGTGTAAATGAGTCATGTGAAGAATGTGAATATGAACATCATAGTGAAAATTCTGATAACTCAATCAATACATGTGTCGGTAATACTATAAACTACAATGGGGAAAATGATTATAAAACAATAAATAGTGAAAAAAATATGTTTGACAATGTTAAAGAAAATATCAGAAAGCCACTTGTTCCATATTCCATTTATAATTCTTTTGACTTTATTATAGAAATAGAATTAATAAATAAAATTAAGAATAAAAAACTAATAAGATTTACGTTATTTAGATCTCAAAATAACATTAAGTATTATTATTCCTGTTCTTATATAAGAAATAATATATTAATTAATCTTATGTAGCTTTTTTTTTTTTTTTTTAAAGTAGAAACATTTTTTAAAATTAGATTATCTATATTTTTTTTTTTTTTTTGTTCATTAATAAAAAAATATATATTAATATTAATCAAAAAATCATTTTTTTTTTTTTTTTTTTTTTTCTATTTAAAAATCCTTTATACACATTAGATTCTTTAAGAATACATTTTTCTTTTTTTTTTTTTTTTTGGTAATTTAAAACAACATAAAAAAACACACTTTCGAAAAAAATGATTAAAAGAAAAAAAAGAATATAAAAAAAAAATATTAAAATAAAATTAATTTAGGTAAACAAAACATAAAAATATTTTAGCAGATCCTGATCTGTAAAAAAAGAGAAAAAAAAAATTGTAAATTGCATGTTTTTATATATAAAAAAATGTAAATAAGAAAAATATAAGATATTATTAAAAAAAAAAAAAAAAAAAAAACTAACTCATCATCATTATGTATGCTGCAATCCATAAAACTTGGCAAAAAAAAAGGAGAACCACTTTTTACATTTTTTGATTCTTTCCCTATTGTCAATCTAACATTGTCTCCTTTATATATATAACCGTACTGTGTTAAAAAAAAAAAAAAATAATAATAAAATGAAAATAAAGATAAAACATTGTAAATAATAATATAAAAATATTTCATTTTTAAAAATTTACTATTAAATTATGTAAAATATTCCCTAATTCAATAGATCTTTTTTTTGATAAAATTACATTTGTTGTTCTACTTTGAGCTGTTAATATCATCGGACCAAACTTTGAAAAAAAAAAAAATAAAATAAAATAAAATAAAATAATATGGATATAATAAATAATTTGATTTATTTAGAATAATAAAAAATTTTTATAAGTTGTTACCTTAACACCTGATATTTTTTCCCACACAGCATCAGCAGGATGATAAGACACCCCTATGAAGAAAAGAATAAATAAAAATAAATAAAATGAAAAATATCTATATTATTTAAAAAAATTTTTTTTTTAATTTTCTTTATTTTATTTTTTTTAAAATGAAAAAAAAAAATTATATATTTCTTTAATTTTTTTCTTTTACTGTAAGAAACAGTTTTGTTATTTTCATCAACAAAAGTAGAGTATCCTGGATCTGTTTTTAATTCATTTTTCAAATTATTATTTATATTGTTTTTATAAAAATCTGAAGATGATTTATTTTCAATATTATTATTTGATTTATTTTCATTTTGTTCTATATCCTTTTTTCTTCTTCTTCCTCTTTTCTTATGAACTTTTTTAAATTCTCTCTCTGAATCTTTTTCTTCTGATTCACTTGTTGTTGATCTAGCATTTCTTTTATTATTTTTATTAAATTCTTCTTCTCCTTCATAAGAGAAATCGTCTTTATTATTTTTCAGTTTATCCATATTTCTATAATAATAATTAGATTCAACATGATTCGTTATTTCTTTATCATAATTATTATACATAGGAGCAAATTGTTCTTCATTTATATTTCCTTTAAAATTATTATTCATCCTATTTTGAATTACATATAGGGATGGATTCATATGCTTATTCACATTATTATTATTATAAATATGATGATGATTATATGATGGATTTAAATTCATATTTAATTGTTGATTCATTTGTTGGTCTAACTGAGAATTTATTTGCTGATTTAAAGGATGGTTTAATTGTTGATTTATCGGATTATTAATTTGTTGATCCAACTGAGTATTTAATGGATGACCTAATTGTTGATTTATTTGCTGATTTAATGGAATATTTAATTGTTGATTTAATGCATGATTAATTTGATGTGACATTTGTTGATCTAATTGGGAATTTAATTGTTGATTTATTTGCTGATTTAATGGTTGAACTAATGGTTTATTTAACTGACTTAATGGATCAGTTAACTGATGACTTAATGCCTGAGGGGGAGGTGGGGCTAATTGATAATTTAAAGGTTGACCTAATGCTTGATTTATTTGCTGATTTAATTGATCTAAAGGTTGATTTAAATGAGTATTTATGGTATGAGGTATTTGTGTATTATATGTAGGATTAATTACTGAATTCACATTATTATATAATGGATTATTCAAATCATTCACTACATTATTATTTAAGTTATTAAAATTATTTGTTTGTATATTTTGATTTCCTGGTTGATATGATAGTATATTATTATTATTATTATTATTATTATTATTATTATTATTATTATTATTATTATTATTTTCATTTGATTGCAGTTCTTCTGGAGGTGTTTTTTTTAATTTCGGTCGTCCTCTTTTTTTCTTTACAGGTGGTTGATCTTTATTTTGTTTATTTAAGAGATCTATATTATTAGTTGTAGTAATATTTTGTGCTATATTATTTGATAAATTATTATTTACTATACTTGTTTTATTTAGATTCTCTTTTTGTAAATCATTATCATTAGAAAAATCATTTAATTTTTCCTTTTCCTCATTATTTTCTATTATACCAATTTCGTTATTCTTATTTGCATTTATAGAAATTTTTGAATTTTCCTCTTCTTTCTTTTCTCCACTAGAAGTAACATTTCCATGATTATTTTCCTCTCTTTTTTTTTCATCATTTATGTCTAGTTGATTTTCATTCAAATTTTTTATATTATTTTTATTGTCAGAAAATTCATTAAAATTCATCATTTCTGAATTAAGATTAATATTCATTTTGTTTAAATATATATTTTCTTGATCTTGATTTTCATTAAAATATGTATTTTTTACATTATAATTATTATGTATATTCATCTTATTATACATATTATGTTGTTCATCAATGTTTTCATATTGATCATAAATATCTTTTTTGTTTAAATAATCAACAGAATTTTGATGAAAATGTATTTCATTTTTATGATAATTTGTATCATCATAATTATTTCTTTCGTTCATACGGTTATAAATATTATTTGATTTATTATTATATTCATAATTAATACTTTTATAATTGGGATTTATATGATCATTTGATTTCAATTGAGAATATTTTCGGTTATAATAATCGTCATCATTATTATACATATATGAATCATTTTTATATTTATTATTCATAATGGAAGAATATTTATTATTTTTGTTTTCACATTTATCGTTATAATCATTTTTATCAATATAATAATCATCTATATATATTTTTTTTTTTTTATTTTCATTATTATTTAATATATTGTTTCTTTCTTTATAATAAAACAACTCTTTTTCTTCGAGGTTATTATTTATATCATTTTTATCTGAAATTTCGTTAATATTTCCATAAGAAATTTTATTTTTTCCATTATTTTCTATTCCGTAATTGTTATTATTATATTCTATAAAATTATTTTTATAAAACATTTTTTTTTCTTCTATATTCTTAAAAATAGCATTTTTTTTCATTTTTATACCTTCATCATTTTGTTTGTCATCTATATATTTTTTTTCATACATAGAATAATCATTTTCAAATTTTTTATTAGATGATATATATCTATCATTCCTATACATGTCATTTATATTATTTTCATCATTTTTAATTCTATCATTATTAATATACATATCTTCACCATCGACTTTCTTATAACTTTTATTTGGAAAAGTTTTAAAATAGTTATTTCTTTCTTCATTTTCATAAATATCTTCACTTCTATATATTTTATCACCAGGAACTACATGATTATCGTTGTTATTCTTATAAATATATTTTGTCTTTTTCATTTGTTCATTTACATTTATTTCATTCTTCATTATATTTTTAGTTTTAGAATCTTTATTATTATAAACAAATTCGTTACTTTTATGTTCATCATCTGTTAAATTGTTATAAATATTATTATAATAGTTTTTATTATCATCTTCCTCTCTATATGCATTATTTAAATTATAATAGTGATCTTTTTTATTTATACAATGTTTATTTTTTATATATTTATTTCCAGGATTATGTAAATAATCATCTGAATACTTTTTTGCATTGATATTTGTATCAAATGAACTGTATCTTTTTATTCGTGCATTGGAATAATAGTCATCTTGTTTTTTATTATCATAATATTCTTCATAATCATTATGAAATTTGTTTTTATATCTCATATTATTCAAATTTTCATCATTTTCTTCATATAATTCTTTTTCATCGCTATAGGAATTATTTAAGTTTTTTAATATGCGCCTATTATTTTCAATATTATTATCTTTATCAAATTCTTTTAATCTATTGTTCTTATTATGAATATATTTATAATATATATTTTCATTTATGTTATAATCTGTTTCTCCATAATTATTTCTTCTATTTTTATGAAAATCTTCATTCCTTACTTTTAATATATCATTTTTAAATTGCTTATTGCCTTCTTTTTTATTTTTACGAACATAGTCATAGTATAAATTATCCTTTGAAGAACCATTAAATTCATCAAAATCTTCCTCAAAATAGGAGTCTTCTCCTTCATGATTTAATTCTTTATATTTTATTTTTTTATCACTGTTATACCTAGATAAATTGTTATACTTCTTTAAATTATATCCTTCACTGAATCTGTTATAATTTTTATAATTTTTTGATTCTTTATCAAATATTACATTTGATTCATTTTCTTTATTACATAAATCATTTAATTTTGATTCATTTTGATCATCTTCACAACTTTTTTCTTTTATCATACTTTTTCTTATTTGTGTTATTCTTCTTATAAAATTTTCCTTATTATCTTTATCAGATTTATTTATATTAACTATTCTATATATATTTTTATTCAATCGAATAGCTTTTTCATTATTATTGTTTGAATTTAATAATTCTTCATTTGACAATTCACTATTTTTACATTCAGATATATCATCTTTTTTATTTTTTAAATCATCTGGAAAACTTAAATTACTAAAACATTTTTTATTATCATTATAATTTTCTTTTATATATGCTTCTTCTAAATTACATTCATTATTTAATTCTTTATCTTTTGACTTATTAAAAGGAGAATTATTTTCACTACTTTCTTCATATTCTATATTTTTATAACTTGAACTATTATAAACACTATTTCTTAATTTTTTCTTTTTGCAATTTTTCATAGTACTTGAAAAGGAATAACAAGAACCGAGTGTAGAAATATCATTATCAAAATAAAGTTCTTCTTCTTTTTCTGAATCATAAAATGATGAAACATCATCATCAACGTAACTTATTCTACTAACTGTATTATCTAAATTATCATTTAAAATTTGTGAGCTATTTAATCTATAAATTTCACAAATATTGTCATTAGTAGTATTATCTTCTTTCTTTTTTGATAAACAATCAATAGAAACATTTAAGGGATCACTTAAATTACTTATATTTAAACTATCATTGTTTTCTCTTCAAAAAAAAAAAAAAAAAAAGAAAAATGTATATATGTACATATACTATAATATATCATAGATTTTTAATTGTATTCAGGTTTTCTTTATATTTATTTATTTATTTATTAATTTATTTTAGTACTTACAGCGAAGAAAGAGGTTTTCGTTCTATTACGGTAAATAATCCATTACTAATTGTTGATTGATCAAGTCTCTAAAGAAAAAAAAAAATATATATTTTCCATATATTTAATTGTATAAATTTAATGAAATAGAAAAAAAAATTAATTTATGTCTTTTTTAAAAAATGTACATATTTTCTTGTTTTTACTTACAAAATCACTTTTCTGGTCATTATTCATAATTAAAAAATATATTTTTTTTATTTTTCTTATATAAAATTAAATATAAAAAATAAATTGCAATAGAAAACGAACAACTTAATATACGTAATAATAAAATATTTAAATGTTTAAAACAACTAAATTTCTGAAATTTTAAAAATTCTAAGATAATATACAAAAATTTATTTTAAATATTTAATTATATAAACTTAAAAAAAAAAAATATATTTTTTTTAATAAGAATTTAATAAGAAATTTCATATGAAAAAATGGATCACTCTTTTTTTTTTTTTTTTTTTTTTTTTTTTTTGTCGGTATTTTCTTTTTCCAAAGAAATATTTATCTTAATCAAAATAGGCTATAAATATATTTTTAATATATGTTTTAATATATTTTTTGATGCATATATTATATTTTTTTACATATTTTCTAATTTTTGATTTAAATAAAATAATTATTTTATTGCTATTTTATTTCATTTTCTTTTTAATTCAAATATATCACTTTAAATAAAAAAAAAAAAAAAAAAAAAATGTATACATATTAAATAACAAATTATTTAAGTATAATAAAATTATCAATATTTTAAAAGCTTTGCAATTTTAAAGAACTTAAAACAAAAAAAAAATTATGCATTTTATTAAAAATTTTCTTTTTTTTTTAAATATAATTATATTATCTTTGAAATTTCTTTTTTTGTTTTTTATTATCTTATTAAATAAAATAAAAATTATTTTATGACATAAATAACAAAAAAATAATTGCAATAATTAAAGATACATATATTTTTTTTTTTTTTTTTTTTTTTGTGTGTTACTAACTAAAATTTTCTTTTAAATAAATATGCAATGTATTTCATATTATGAAGTATTTTTCTATAAAATTTTTCATTTTCTGTTTAATTTTGTTATTCTTTTACTTATTAATATTTAAAATATACTAATACTTTTTTTATTAATTTTGAAAAAAAAATTCTCTATTGCACATACAATGTTAAAGTAAAAATATTTTAAAAATTCTTTGTTCCAAAAAAAAAAAAAAAAAATAAATGAAAATATTATATTTTTTCTAAACAATATTTGTATGTGAATCATTTAAATTTATGACTTCTAATGATTAATAAACCACAAAAAAAATATTAATAAAAAAGGAAAATTTATTTTTCTTTTCTTTTCATATAAAATGAATATAACTCTATCATGAAAGAAACACAATACATTTTTAGAATACTTATTTTTCATGCATTAAATAATTAAACACAAAAAAAAAAATAAAACAATAAATTAATTGTATACTTAAAAAAAATAACAAAAAAAAAAAAAAAAAAAAAAATTGTTATAAATCTTTTTTTTTAATGATTTACACATTTTAAAAAAGATATTATCACTTTTTAAAAATATAAAACAATTTAAATTTAAATATGTACTGAGCAATTACTAATTTTTAGCGACTTATTTTTTATGATACTTTAATAATAATATATATAAAATTTATCATATAATTAAATCTTAATACATATTTAACTAATTATTTTTTTTTCTTGATTATTACAAATATGGTGACTGTATTTCAAGGAAAAAAAAAAAAAACTTTCTTTTAAAATATAGAAAATATATTCCTTCATCTTCTGTTTGAACAATAAACGTTAATTAAGCTATGGTAAATAATTACATTATATAAAAAATATTTAATATTGTTGAACATTTTTTAAATTTATTTCTTATATGTAAAAACAGAAATTTTTTATAAGATTTGAAATATATATGTATATATATATATATGTTTAGGAATATTGAAATATCTATACATTTTAATGAGTAACTCATTAGTTTTAATTTTTATTTATTTATTTTTCCGTTTTAATTTATGTTTAAAATTACATTATATATATAAAAAAGATTTGGTTTCAACAAATAGAAAAACTAAAAGAATAAATATTGGAAAACGGTCCTTTCTCTACAAAAATGATGCATTTAATAATAATATAAAAAAGAAAAATTATAAGATCTTTTATAAAAGTAAAAAAGAAAAAGATTTACTTGAGTCAGGCTATTTGTATCCTTTTGACCACTTAGAGAAAAAAAAAAAGAAATTTCCACCTGACCCTTATATACCAAGTGAAGAAGAACAAGAAGATTCTTTTGATATATACGAAGATGAATTAGATGAAAACGATTATTTAAACTACGATGATGATGATGCTAAAAAATATTTTGGAAAAACAACATTCAATCAACCTAATACTATAGAAAAATATAAAGAACATGAAGAAGAAACATATAATAACTCTAGTTCTGATTATATTTCTATGAAAGATGAAAGTGACAATTCTTACACAAAGAATATGGACATATTGGAGAAAACAAATCAAAATGAAAAAAGAGAGAATTTAGAAGAAATAAAAAAGAATGTTGCAGAAATAAATAATGAAAATATAAAAGAAAATAATGATATTATAGGTTTAGATAATGAAGAAAATAACTTAAAAAACATAAATAAAGAAATAATAAATATTAATTTTTACTCATCTGAACAAAATAAAATACAATGTGAAATGATGAAAGATAAGCTATATTATTTATTCCATCCCTGCATGGATAACATATTTATTGAATTTTTTCAATTGAATATTGAATCCTTTACAGATTCCAAAGAAAAAGAAATTTATGCATCGTATTGCAGCAAAGATTATAATTTTAAAACTGTGGTTTCCTCATTTAATGATCTAATTGATTTTTTTAACAAGTTAAAAAAAATACTTCATGATAAAATTGATAAATTTTATTACAAGAAAGAAAATAAATATAGTGCATATTTAAATAAAAATTCAAGAAAAGAAATGGAAAAATATAAAAAAGAAAGGAGCGTCACAAATGTATCAAAAAAGAATCTACAAATGAGCATTGAATCATCTCTTAAATTAATAGAAAAATGTACCGAAAATATATACAAGCAAAATTATGAACAAACTCTCCATGATTTAAAACTAGCATATAATATGCTTCCTTGTAAATATTATGGTTATTTTTTATCAAACTTATGCTCAAATATATCTATTTTGTCTTTTTACACAAATGATATACAGGGTGCTTTTCATTTTGCTCTCAAATCAATTAAGTATGAACCAAAATATTGTGTAGCTTGGAAATGTTTAGGAGATTCATATAGAAGTTATAGAAAATTTTGGCAAGCCAAAAACTTTTATGATATAGCAATATATTTGGGTTATAAAGATACTAAAGGAGAAAACTTTGATGAAATAGTTCAAGAGTTAAATAATTTAACTCAGAAAGCTTTAAAAAATGTTGATTTATTAAAAGAAAATATGAACAGTCATGTAAATGTTGTAATTAAAAAAAACATTGGAGTAGTAATCAACAAAAATCCAGATTCAATAGGTGGTTGCTTCATATCTTATGTAATCGAAGGAAGTAAAGCTAGTAAAAAAAATTTTCATCATGGGGATCAAATTGTTTCCTTAAATAATATTATTACATATGGAAAACCAATAGACTTTTGCCTAAAATCATTTCAAAAAAATAAAGGTACATATGATATAATTTTTTTTAAAGGAAATATCATTGAATTGTATGGTTTAAAAGCATATAAATATTTAATGGAAAATAATTTATTTTCTACACTTTTTGAAAACGAACAAATTTTATCTTTTAAAAGGAATGAAACAATTTTATTTGATATGAAAGGATTTGGTACATTTTCAGAATATGGAATGTCAAAGTCAGAAATATAAAACAATAATGAAGAAAAAAATATGTTTTTGTAAAAGGAAAATTTTATACAATATATAAAAAAAATTAAATTACAAGTAAAAAAAAAAGGTATGCTCTCATATAAAAAGAAATTTTAAATAAACAATGTATATCAAAATTTACAATATTTTTTTTTTAAGATTTATCTTTATTCATAATTTTTTCATTAGTGAAAATTTTAATTTTATAATTTTTCTTTTGATACGTTGCAAATTTAAAATTAAATGTAAACATCCTGATAATTATTTTTTTTGCAGAAATTATAAATAGGTAAATTTTCATTTTTTTTTTTTTATTAAATATTACTTTGAACATTTAAATTTTATAAAGACAATACATCACTGAACAGTGTTTTAAAATGTAATGTATGGTTTTTATATTTTTAAGTAGATCTGTTATTATTTGTTTTATTTTGAGAATAAATTATATTATCATATAAGCTTATATATTTTTCATATTTTTCAATGTCCCTTTTTGTCCAATTATTAGTAGGCTTTTTTATGCTTTGATTATTATTTACACAATTTTTTTCAAATTTTTCTTTTAATTTTTGTATAGTAATTGGTATTTCACAATCAGTTAAGAAATCTTGAAAAGTACTTTGATACTTTTTTCTCAGAGGAATTGAAAATAATTTATTTTCTTTGTAAAAGAAAAAGGCTAAAAATTTTATTGCACTTAATTTTATGCTTAAACCAGGATAAAGTGGTCTATGTTTTCCTAACTCATATAAGGCTTGACATAAAACTTCATACAAATAAGTTTTTAAATAAATTAATGTATTGACATCATTTTTGTTTTTCATTTTTTCAATAATTATATCAAATATATTTTGACTATTTAAATAATTATTATAATAATTAATAAATTTTTGCATTTTTTCTTCACTCTGAAACAAATAAAATTTATTTTCATATTTTATGCAATATTTTTTATCTCCTTTAACAAAATTTTGTTCATCAACTAAGCTAACCAAGCAAAAACCATCATTTTCTACTTGAATATTTACATTTATTTCATTAATTTTCTCAAATTTTGCAAATGGCAACTCTAAGTTTATGTATTCATTAGGATCTTTTTCAAAATTTAAAACATCCTCATAGTTACTAACTAAATAAAAAGAATTATTGTGATATACAGTATAATTATCAAATATGTTGCATTTAAGTAAAACATTTTTATTTTTATACGTAACTAAGCAATAGTTATTAAATTTTATTTCATGTTCATAATTTTCTTTTTCATATATATTAAATCCTTTAAAGTATGCAGTTTTATTATTATATTTATATCTATTATATCTCTGATAGCTTTTTATTCGTTCTTCTATATTGTTAATTATTTGATATTTCATTTTCCATATATTTGTGTACTCAACATTAATAATATTATTATATTTTTTAAATTTTTCTTCTATATTATTTATAAAAGCATAAAAATTATGAACTATTTCATTATTGTCATTATTCTCTGATAGGAAACTTTTATCTGCATTAATTTCATCATTCGACACAATATGATTATATTTATTCAATACTGAAATATTTTCACCACTCAATTTTTCATTTTTATCAATAAATTTTTGTTTAATTATAAAAATTAAATGTGGAATTTTTTTACTTTTTAAAATCGTATTTAACTGATTTCTGTTATAAGGAAAGTTATATAAGATACAACCATGTGATAAAACGTCATACTGATTCAACCTTATATACAACAAATCCATTAATACGTTATCATTTATATTCTTATTTTCAATTACTTCCTTATATTTACTTATTTGATAACCAAATGATATTAAATTTTGTTTATTAATTATTTTACATTTGGTATTTTTCATTAATTCTTCACACACATTTTCTACATTCATATTAGAGTATATAAATATAAAAGGAAGAACAAAAGAAGGGTCTGGCTTCATCTGCGTTAAATAATAAAGTGGCTTCCTAGAAAATTTATTTAATTCTTCTTCTGTTCTAAAATAGAATAAAAATGAATTATATAGAACTATGAAATTTGTGTCTATATCTACAATATTATCAGTGTCAACAGGAGAATAAAAATAAAAACTTGATAATTTTGCATAATTATTATTTTTTAAAAATTCTGCCCACATTTTATCAATTTTTTTTATATTTAATTGAAGAAATAAATTATTTCTGTATTGCAAAATTTGATTTAATTTATCTTCTATTAATGCTTTCACAGATTTCATATGCATTTTGCTTACATTAATATTCCATATATTAGTATAATTTTTTAAATAATTAATAATTTTTTTGTTTTTCTTTGAAACTTTCCTTATTTCATCCAAATACTTCTTCTTCTTACTTTCTTCTACAATTATACTTTTTTCTAATTTATAAAATTCGGATTTTTTCCATGACTCTTGAGTTTTGCATTTTAAATAAATTATATGCTCAGGTATACGAAATGAATATTTTAAAATTTTTACAAATGAATTTAATAATTTTTCCTCTAAAAATTTATACTTACTATAAAGTATTTTTTTCTCATTTTTCCTTAAAAATATTTTTTCGACATCTTTTATTTTTATAGTATTTTTACTGTAGCAAAAATAATTATCAGAATTATTTGATGACTCGTTCTCATTAGAACTGCTTTCATCAGAATTATCTTCACTATATTGTATTTCGTTATTATTATTTTTATTATAAATAATTTCTTCAGTATTCATTTTATGATTAAAATTATTTCTGCTGCTTTTTGAGTTTTTATCATCATCTTCATTTTTTACATATAATGAATCTTTTGAACTTATATGATTGTGTTCTTGATCATTTATTTTACCTTGTTCAGAAAAATCTTTATTTGACATATTTTTTTGTCCATTAGATTTACAAAGCAAAATATCTCTATTTGTTCTTAAAATTTCTTTTAGGTTTTCTCTATCCAATATTTTAAAAATGCTTTTTTTTGTGTAATTAAATTTGATCACACAATTCTCTAAATTTTCGTGTAATATAAATCGTACTGTCAAGATTTTTGCTATGTTTAAAATCAAATTATATGGTTTAATAAGAGAAAATATTATATCATATATTTTTTCTTCCTCAAAAATTTTATTATCTTCAGTTATTTTAACTTTATTAATATTATTTTCTAGAAATAATACATCTTCATTATTTAAATAAATTATTTTTTGAAAGTTAAATTGAGCTAAAGTATCTAATGAAATTTTATTTAAATATTCTTCTTCACCATTATATTTACATATTTTAAAAACATATATATATTTTATTATATATATACATACATATTTAAAATTTTTTATAAATTCATGTTCTATATCTATATATTTTAGAAAAAATTTACATGTAATACTGTTAATTTCATCTTTGAAATTACAATTTTTATCATTTAGTAATAAAATTCTTAATGGAGGTACATTATAATTATGTAAATAAAATCTAATATTCTGATTAAATAAAAAGGCATTATAAGCATTTGACAAATAATGTACTTTTTCATCATGAATTAGTTTGATATTCTGCCTACATTTATATAACCAATTATGTTTTTTTAAAATGTATGGACAATATACATTAGTATAACCATTATTCAGCTTAGAAATTAATATATTATCATCTAATATAGAATTATAATTAATATAAGAATGAAAAAATGGGTTTATGATTTTTCTTATTTCGTTTAAATAATTATAAATGTTATTATTAATATTTATGAAGTGAATATTATAATTTTCTTTTTTTAATTTTTCTATCTTTCTTTTATAGTTTCTGTTGTATAAACACATATAGTTACAATTATTAAAACTATTTAAATTGCTCTCAACGGTCTGTGAAATATTATATTCGAAATTCTCAATAATTTTTGTCTTTTTATTATTAATATTAAATGCAATAATGTAACCAACTTCAATATTCATTTTTTTTAAATGAGAAAAAATTTTATTATTTAATGGTAATCCACTTATGATAAAATTGTTATTTGAATATGTAGATACAACACTTTCGCTACATAAAACTTTGTTTGTTTCATTATTATTACCTTCAAACTTCTCTAAACTGTTTTCTTTTTTTTTAATATTATCATCTTCAATTTGAATTTTACATTTTTCATTTTCTATATAAAATAATTTATCAATTAAACTAATTAATTTACTTATTATTTCATTTGCACTCTCTAAGCTTTGTGCAATAAAAAGTTCACTAATTATGTTTTTAAAATTAATCTCTTCTTCATCATTCCTTTTAATCATTAATAGATTATAAAGAGATTTAATTTTTATTATAAGGTCAAAATGTTTTTTTTTTATTTTTTTTTCTTCATAAATATTTTCCACAGAATTTTTCTTTTTTAGTGAAGCATCAAATCTATTATTAAGTAAATTTTCAAAATTTTTTCGGAACTCATTTAAGAATAATATAATCTCTCTCAAGATATACACATTAAAATTGTGGATTTTATTCATTTTCTTACATATATATCTAACCATAAATAAGGAAGAAATCATTTTACCTTCAAGCAAACGATTAGCTTCAAATAAATGAAAATTGAAATCTTCTTCGTCTTCATTAATTTTTTCAAAAACAGATTTAAAATATTCATCCATATCAATATGTATTATTTTATCATAAGATTTAAGCAAGTTAAAAATTTTGTTTTTTATATCATTATTTGGAAAATAAATGACCATACAAAAACTTACTGATTCTTTTATTTTTTGACTAGAATAAAATTTTGGGTACTTCAAAAACTCATTCATTTTTTCATATGTTTCTAACATATACACTTTATTTTTATAAATGACTGTAAAATTTTTATCTCCTTTTATTAATTTACTTTCATTTATGTAGGAAACGGGACAATATTTATAATAATTACTCCAATATCTATAATATTTATTTATATTTTTATTTTCCAAAGCTTCCTCTTTCATATTGAAATCACTTTTTTCATAAATTTCGTTGTTTTTTTTTTCTGTTTTCAATTCTCCTTTACTTTTTCTTAGATCCTGATTATTCACTTTTTTATATTGTGCATCCTTATGATCATTTTTTTCATTCATAATTAATTTTGATGAAACTCCTTTTTGTTTTAAATTTATTAATAGAAAATTATATTTGTTTTTTTCTTTATTATTACTTTTTTTATTATATTTATATGGAAAATAGTTATTTTTTAAATAATAAGAATAGTTATTTTTAATCATATTAACATAGAAAACTTTGTAAATAGAAGTATTTTTAACTACATCTATATGTATTATTTTTATATCGAATGTTTTCACTAATATATTTAGTAAATACTTTTCCACTTCTTCTAAATTTTTTAAATCATCATTTAAAATTTTTATGTTATTCTCATTTGCAATATTTGAATTCTTTATTTCTACAATGTGTTCAACCTTTCCTCTGCTTACGTCATCTAGTTTTTCTGATTCATCATTTTCTATTTCTTCATTAAAATTTTGTACACTTCCTATTTTACTGTCTTCATTATTTGTTTTTAATAACTTTTTAAAGTATGAAAGAATTAAGCAAATTTCCTTTTCAAACTTTATATCATTGTAATAATTTTTTAAGTCTTTGTAATAATTTTGATAGTATTTTTTAGGGTTAGAACATTTATAAATGTAATTTATTTCTTTATTCATTAAATCAAAATATTTTTCACTTACATTATCGACATTTATAATGTAAGTATTAGCTTTTTTGTCATTACTCTGGTTGTATTCCTTGAATTTGTCGTATTGAACTTCCTCTGTATTCAACAAATGTATATTTTTCTTATTTTCTTTTTCATTTTTTCCTTTATATTCTTCATTATCTTTCTTTTCATTGTTTTCCTCTGCATTGTCTTCCTCTTCACTATTTTCCTCTTCACTATCTTCCTCTTCACTACCTTTCTCTTCACTGTTTTCTTTTTCATTTTCTTTGTCTTCATTATCTTCCTCTTCATTATCTTCCTCTTCATTATCTTCCTCTTCATTGTCTTCTTCTTCATTGTCTTCTTCTTCATTATCCTCCTCTTCATTATCTTCCTCTTCATTGTCTTCCTCTTCACTGTTTTCATCTTCATTATCTTTGTCTTCTTCTTTATCTTCATGGTATTTTTCTCTATTTTTTTGATCGTTTTCTACTTCATCAAGGTAATCTTTATCTATACTATCAATACTTAAATAATTTTCGTCCGAGAATTCATCATTATCCCCATTTTCTTTTTCATCACTATATATATTTTCCTCTTTGAATTTGTCTTCGCATTCATTTTCATCATCTTTTTTTTTTTCTTTTTTTCTTTTGTATCCTTTAACTAGTTTCCTTTTTTCTCCCTTTTCTTCTTTTTCTTCTTCTTCTTTTTCTTCTTCTTCTTCTTTTTCTTCTTCTTCTTTTTCTTCTTCTTCTTCTTTTTCTTCTTCTTCTTCTTTTTCTTCTTCTTCTTCTTTTTCTTCTTCTTCTTTTTCTTCTTTTTCTTTTTCCTCTTCCTCTTCCTCTTTATCTTCTTGATCTTCCTTTTCTTCTTTTCCTTCCTCATTTTTACTTTTGAATTCATCTATGATAATACTTTTTTTTTTTTCTTCTTCATTGCTTTCACTACCTTCAACTTTTATCTCTTCATTTGTATTTTCAGTTTTCTTTTTTTGACTATTAATATTAAATTCAATATCATTTCCTTTTAATTTGACCAGTTCAAATGGATAGGAAACATTATTTTTATATTGGTTCAATAAGTTTTCATAAATTTTCTTTATATAAGATGATTCTTCACAGTTAAGACTGAAAAGATAAAAGAAGTTAATTACAGTCATTTTACTATAAAAAAGAAATCTTTTATTTACATATTTATTATTATTTATTAATTTTTACTTTAGGTTCCTATAATTTTTAAGAATTATGCAAAATGTTGGAAAGGCATCTTTAAATGGATTCTCTAAAATTAAATTTTTATCATTTAGTATAAAATTATTAATATTTATTTCTCTATTATTTTTTACGTTTTTTAAAAAATTAATATTTAAAAAATGAATATAATTAATATAATTTAAAGAGGACAATTTTTTTAATTTTGAGAGAAAATATTCTAAATGTTTCATAAAATATTCATTTAAATATAAAACGTAACCATTGTTTTTAGAGACAATTGTATTAATATATTCTAACGTTAGATCTAAAATTTTTTTAAAATCAATAGAATTACCATTTTCTAGATCTATATTAATTAATTTACCTAACGGAGACAAAAATTCTTTTTCCATTTTCCAATTTCTATTTAATATTACTGATGGTTCAATAAATTCAACTTTTAATTTTTTTATTAAGTTATATATATTTTTATGAGAATTTGATATTATTATAAAATTTTCTCTTTTCCTTTTTTTATTTATTTTTATAAAGTTTCTCATTTTATTTTCATCTTCTACATGTAGAAATTTAATTTTTTTCCTTGGAGTTTCTGGTTCATTATCCATTTTTATTTCTTTCAAACTGTCTTCATCAAATATTTTACTTCTGTCTTTTATCTCTGATTTATCGTATAGTGAACTTTTTATTTTATTGTCATTATATAACATTTTTTTTACTTCGTTATTATTATGTGATTTATTTTTTTCTTTATTATAATCATGTAACTTATCAGATGTTTCATTTTCATTATATAGATTAGTTTTTATTTTATTATTGTCATATATCATATCTTTCTTGACACATTTTTCAACTAAAATATCATTTACTTTATTTTTATTATTTAACTTATCTTTTCCCTCATTTTCATAATATAACGTATGTTTTTCTTTATGTTCATCACATAGATTATCTGTTCCTTCATCTTCATTATATAACTTATTTCTTTCTTCAATTTCATTATATAACTTATTTCTTCCTTCAATTTCATTATATATCTTATCTTTTATTTTATTTTCATCATATAACTTATCTTTCATCTCATTTTCTTTATATAATTTATCTTTCTCTTCAATTTCATCATATAACTTATCTTTCATCTCATTTTCTTTATATAATTTATCTTCCATCTCATTTTCTTTATATAATTTATCTTTCTCTTCAATTTCATCATATAACTTATCTTTCATCTCATTTTCTTTATATAATTTATCTTTTTCTTCAATTTCATTATATATCTTATCTTTTATTTTATTTTCTTTATATAATTTATCTTCCATCTCATTTTCTTTATATAATTTATCTTTCTCTTCAATTTCATTATATAACTTATCTTTTATTTTATTTTCATTATATATCTTATCTTTTTCTTCAATTTCATTATATAACTTATCTTTCATCTCATTTTCCTTATATATTTTATTTCCTAATTCATTCTCATTATGTAATTTGTCTATTATTTTGTTTTCATTACATAATTTATCTTTTACTTCATTTTCATTATACAACTTATTTTTTAATTGACTATGATCAATTAAAATATTTTTTTCTTCACTTTCTCCTTGCAATTTATTCATTGTTTTAACTTCACCATATAAATTATTTATTTCTCCATTTTCCTTATATAACTTATCTTTTACTCCATTTTCATTATACAAATTACCTTTTAGTTTATTATTATATGATAACTTATTTTTTGTTTCATTTTCAACTTGCAACTGATAACATGCTTCTCTTTCCGTATATAACTTATCTTTTATATTATTTTCATAATATGTCTTATCTTTTCTTTCATTTTCATTCATTAAAATATCTTTTCTTCCATTTTCATTCATTAAAATATCATTTACCTCTTTTTCATTAATTAACTTATCTTTTCTATCACTTTCATTAATTAAAATATCTTTTCTTTCATTTTCATTATATAACTCATAATTTATTTTATTTTTATCAAATAAATTATCTTTTGTTTTGTTTTCATTATATAACATGCCTATTACTTCATTTTCATCACATAACTTGTCTCTTATACTATTTTCACCGTATAAAATATCCTTTTCTTCAATTTCTCTATAAAGGATATCATTTTCTTTAATTTCCCTATAAAGGATATCTTTTTCTTCACCATCATTATATATGATATGCATTGTGTTATTATTTTGATATAATTTCTTTTTTTCTTCATTTTCATATTCATCTGGTAATTTTAATTTTTGATATATTTCATTGGAAGACATTTTTTGATTTTCTTTTCTTAAAATATTTTTTTCATTCTTAACAAATGTATCATTTAATATTTTATTCATTTCATGAAATGTTTTACTCATATCATTAAATAAATTCTCATTTTTATTTTTTTTTATTTCTAAGTTTTCAATTAAAACATTTTTTGTATTTAAATTGTCTATTTCAAGTTCACTAGTTTTGTTCTTTAGGTTACTAATTACATTATTATTTTCTGAATATTCGTTGTTTGAAATATTTTCATCTTCATCATCTTTTAAAATGCTTACTCTTTTAATTTTTTTTACAAAAATATCAAAATTTTGTTCATATGATTCCAATTTATCAGAAATTTCATTTTTAACAGTTATTAACAATTTCTTTTGTTCTTTTATTTTTTTTTCTTCTTCGTCCTCCTTTAATGATTTAGTGTTACTCTCATCATCAACTTTTTCATTTCTTTCTATTTTTAATATTTCGTTTTCTTCCTTACTTAGTATTTTGTTCATATCTTTGTTTATTTCTTCTAGGGTTTCTTTATTCATTCCTTTGTCTAATTCTTCAAATGATAACTTCTTTATTTTAAAGGAATCACTTGTATAATCGCTAGTTTTTGTTCCTTTTTCTTTATTTCTATTTAAACTATATTCCATATTACTTTGGTTCTCTAAAAATTCTTTATTATCATTTATTAACTCGTCATTTATTGAATCTATTTTTTTTTTTAACTTTTTGTATTTTCCCTTGTCTTTTTGCTCTAGCTTCTCTAAAGTTTTTTTTTCATTTTCTAAATAATTTTTTGCTTTACCTATATCATTTTCATTTTCATTTTCATTTTCACTTTTCTTTTCATGAGGTATATCACTTAATTCTTTCTTGTTGCTCTTATTCAATTTTTTTTTTTTTTTAATATCATTTTTTATATCAGTTTCATTTTTTATACAAATGTTATCATCTTTTAAATTATTTTTTAAAGCGTCTATATATTCTTCATCAGAATCACATATATTTTTTATTTTATTTTTTTTTTCTTTATCTTCATCTATTTTTATAAAATTTTTTCTGAACTCCTCATCTAATTGATCATCATTTTTTAAAGCTAATTTTTCTTTTGTTTTATTTATCATGTTATCATTTATTTTATTTGGTGTAATATCTTTTTCTTTTTTTTTTTTTTTCAATTTTTGATTTTCTAAAATATTTTCCTCATTATTAGAATTTAGCTTTTCTTCTTTTGAGATTTTTTTACTTTTTTTATTCACTACTTGAATTTCTTCATTTTCATTTTTAATACTTTTTTTTTTTTCTTCAAAATTTTTAACTTCCTCTTTTTTTTTTTTTTCTTCGTCTTTATCAAATTTTTTTTTTTCACTTTTATATGTCTTTTCATCAAAGTCAATGCAACTATCTAATTCTAAAAAATGTTTTTTTTCTGATACAAATATATCATCAGATATTTCATTTTCCTCTGTCTTAATTTCTTCATTTAATTTATCAGCATCCATTATTTTACATTCTTTTGTGAATTCAGAAAAACTTATTCCATCAATAAGAAAAGAATTTTCTAATTGTGATTTTTCCTTTTTTTTCATTTCATTATTTTTCCTTGATTCAATCTTATTTTCTTCTCCTTTAATTTTTAATAAATCATTTAATACAGAACTATCAGTTTTCCTTCTTTTTTTTTCTACATCTTTTTCTACTTTATCATTTAATAAATTTAATGAAGTATATGAATTCCTAGTTAGGATTAAATTATTACTTAAATTAGGATAATTTTTTCTTATAGAATATTTTTCATCTTTTTTATGTATTTCAATCCCGTTATTTTTTTTAATTTTTTCATCTATATTTTCTCCAACTTTTTTAATTTTTATATTTTTTTTTTTCTCTTGATTAATTTTTGATTTATCTATAAAATAATAAGTAGAATAAAATATTTTATTTATATTATTTTTTATATGTCTAAAATTTATCTTATTTTTTATTTTTCATATTTAATATATATATATATATATATATATATATATTTTTACCATTATTTTCTATATTATGTGTAAATGCATTTGAGGTATTGTAATTTTTTCGTTTTTTTTCTATTAAGTTGTTATTTCCTTCATCGCTATCAATATATTCTAAAGGATTGATATCATTTACATCCATTAATACTATACTACTATGTAAATAAGAATTATTATTCCTATTATTTAATAAATTCTCAAATAAATTTTCATCTATAATTTCTTCTTCTTCATCAGGGTTATATAAAAATGATTCCTGAAGTTGATAATTTTCGCTAAACCTTTTTGTAAATTCTTTTTTTAATTCTTCTACTTCACTAGACATTTTTTTTATAGATTTAATATTTTTTATTAGTCTATTTTGTTCTGAAATTTCATTTTTATTATTCTTTGATAAATTATACAATGACAATCTTTTTTCTTCTTCTTTCCTTCTAAAATGTATCATTATCATAGGTTTTTTTTTAATAATTTCTCCATTGTTTTTTTTTATTTCAATATATGTAATTCTATAAAATAATGATTTTAAAAAGTGAGCATAATCTTCAGCATTTATAGTTGGAGTCCATATATCTGACAATTCAAAAAAAGCATTAAAAAAAGAATAAAAATCTAAAAATTTTTTTCCTTTAGAATCATTATTCCACTCATCATTTACTATTTTTACAATTTCTTTTATTTCAAATTGAGGTATTAGAACTTTACATATTCTTAACATAATTTTAAAATATTCAACTTTTGTAAACTTATCATCCATCTTTTTATTTAAAATATTTAACCATATATTCTTAACACACCTAATAAATACCTTATCATTTCTTATTTTTTCTCTTTCTCTTTTTAATTCCTCATTTTCAAATTTTAAATCTCCTTGCTCACAATATTGTTTTATGTTTTTGATGTCTCTATTATGAGAAAATAACTTATCAAAATTATTCTCCATCTATTTTTCTAGATTACATTACATCATAAAAAAAAAAAAAAAAAGTAATATATTTTTTTTTTTTTAGTAGAACAATTAAACAAAAATAATTAAAAGAAAAAATATAAAATAAGACAAGATAGTAATAAATATTTATAAAACTATTAAAGTAAGTAAAAGAACATACATCAAATATAACTAAAGAAGGAAATATATATATTTAAAATTTTACTTAAAAAAAAAAATAAAAATAATAAAATTACAAAATATTTTGTTGATCTTCCGTATTTTTCTTCTTTTTAAATAGCTCATATGATTTTATTAATTAAATTCATTTTTTTTTATAACTAATACCAGAATTAAAATTATAAAAAAAATTAAATTGTTCCTTTATAGAAAATTTACAATTTTTTTTTTATTTCTAATTATGTTAAATAAAGAACCTAATTATTTTAGACAGAAAATTAAAGAATCTAAAAAAAAAATTTTTTTTTTTTTTTTAATATATGAAGTAGGTTCTTTTATAATACAAAATTAAAAATTATACTTTTATTTTTCTTTGAAATTTTTTTTTTCAAAATAACAAAACTATTTATAAAAAATTGCAAAATATCCCAATTATAATTTTTTCTATTTTTGTAGTATATAGATGCATATTTATTCATTTGTGATTTTCATTAAATGTTCTTTTTTTTTTATATTATTAGAGTTTAAAATTATATTACATATAAGAATTTGTTTTATAACTTTTCGAACATAATACTTTTTATGCATTATTATTATCATTATTATTTTTTTTTTTTTTTTTTTTTTTTTTTTTATAATAAAAGATTCTCCTTTACATACATTTCTTTAGCTTAAAAAATAATATCCAATAAAAAATTTACTTATATAAAAAAAAAAAAAAAAAAAAAAATATATTTATGAAGTATTCTTTTTGCATAAGATACACATGTAGATATAAAAATAAATTTGATGGTATTTGTT